CTTAATGTAAGCGGTCAGATGTACTTACTGATGTTCTCATTTCAACATACTTCCTTTTCTCTCTTTTTTTTTATCCTTACTCAAGGACTTTTTTTTTTCATTGCTTTTAGAGAGAGAGCAAAGAGAGAGAGTGGGAGAGAGAAACATTGATATGAGAGAGAAACATCTATTGTTTGCCTTCCATACATGCCCTGATTTAGGATTGAATCAGCAACCTAGGTATGTACCCTGACCGGGAATTGAACCCTAGACATTTCAGGTATAGGACTAGGCTCCCACCTGCTGAACCACGTGGGCCAGGACCCAACACACATTCGTTTATTTATTAATAATATCTCAAAGACCAATTATTGATCAACATTTGGCAAAACTAGCTGGAGTTACTCTATATTTTAATTTCTAAAATGGTGTTGATCATACTACTTTTTCCCCCAAATTTTCTGATCTTCCTTTGCTGAAAGTTGTCAAGACAACTGATTTGCCCTGGTCTTTATTAATTTTAAGCCACTGTTCTATGTGAGTCAATGATTTACTGGCCAAAGACAGCTGGTCCTCGGAAATTTGTTAATACTACTTAAAAGCTTTAACTTAAAGTACTCATTAGAAAGCCTTTTGACATAATCTTTGCTAGTCACACATAGTTTTATGATCAGCAACTTATAATGGTATCTTGTAATTATTGAATATTTATCGGTACTGCCTATATAATTTACACATGGCTTCAAAAAGGATTCTGATTTCACCTTGGCCAACTAGCTAAGTTGGTTGTAGGATGGCCCCATCCACCAAAAGGTTGCGGGTTCGATCCCTGGATGGGGGTGATGCTTTCAGGAGGCAACCAATCAATGCTCTCTCACACTGATGTTTTTCTCTTTCCCTTCCTCTCTCTCTAAAAAGCAATATATATATATCTATATATATATATATGTTTTTAAAAAGAACTCTGATTCTAAGTTGGTTATTTTGAAATATGATATATTGACCTATCCTCAAGAATGAAAGTACAAATATTTTGTAAATTTAGGATTAAAACCATAATGAGACACCACTGTACATTGACTGTAGTGGATAAAAAAGACAAAACAAAACAAACTAACCATATCTAGTGCTGACTGACAGGGATGCAGAACAACTGAAATTCTCATGTAGTCCCATGGGAATGCGCAATGGTGTAGACATTTTGGAAAACAGTTCATCAGTTTCTTAAAAAGTTAAACAATTTTACCAGATGACCCAAGAATCTTCCCCCTAGGGATTTACCCAATTGAAATGAAAAATGATATCCAAACAAAAAGCTTGTAAGTGAATATTTACAGCAGATTTATTCATATTTGCCACAAACAGGAAATCAGCCAAATGTCCATGAATTGACTAGATAAACAAATTATGGCTCTTCCTTACAACTGAATACTATTCAGCATAAAAGGGAATGAACTTATACAGCAACATGAATGAATCTCAAATTCATTATGCCAAGCGAAAGAAGCCAAACTCAAACTGTTGCATATTGTATGATTCCACTTATCTGACATTCTGCAAAAGGCAAAACTATAAAGGTAGAAAAAAAATCAGCGGTTGCTGGGAGTGAGGTTAACTAAAAAGGGGCATAAAATAATTTTTTTGGTGATAATGGAACTGTTTTACACATTGACTATGGTAGTGGTGGTTACATAAATATATGAGAGTATGAATTTGTCAAAATTCATAGAATTGTACCCCTAAAAAGAGTTATTTATATTGTATGTATTTTTTTTACCTCAATAAACCTAAGACTACAATCCAGTGTTGTAATCTGAAGATAAATAAGAGTTTAAAATACATGTTATTTTTCATTGTACACCTAAAGACAGGAATGAAAGCCAACAACCTCACTATCCCTGTGGCAAAGACAGGTTAACTTCATTGCTAGCTTAAGTCAGGGAAAGGCTACTGTGCTGCAAGCTATTACTGAAACCTCTAACATTAAATTATGACTCACTGTAACACAAGAGCAGACTGAGAAACAGCAAGACAAAGTCACCCAAGGGCTTTTCATTTTTAGGAACCTTGCCCATCATGTTTTCTTTATGAACATATGAGAAACGTTGTGATATCAGTAAACATATACTTAAGGGATTAAGAGAAGAAAAGTAAGAAACTTGTTGGCTAAACTTAAAAGGCAATTCTAAAACTTGTATGCTAGTTCTAAGGCTGCTAAGACTTTATTTTCTTTTGTTTATTACAGAAATAATTTCCCATAGATGGATTGCTAAAACAATAACACGTTGGGGGCTAACCCCTCCGCTACCTGTTGGCTTTCCCATGAGATCATGATTTTCTAATTTAAAAGTGGATAGTGGACAGATTGAGAGTGGGTTTCAAAGTAAGGAGAATTCTTGCAGTGGGGCTCAAATTAGCAAGTTGTGGAAATTTATTCAAAGTGATTTTAAGGTAGAAATATAAATCTTAACAAGCACATATATTTTAAAACTATATTAAAGACGAGTTGCCACAGAGACTGCCTTGCATCTACCTAACAACCAGTAAAAATTAAAATTACATCCACTACCCCTGGGTTGGTGCTTCCCCTGTGCCAAGGAGGGTCTACATGTGCAACCTGCAGAGTGTCAGCTCTCACCACTCCCTGCCTTGCTGTGTATGACCCTAGAATCTCAAACAGCACAGAGCTCCTCACAGGCACTGTGCTAGTTCTTGTTTCGGTACCTTTGTTCCTTCTTTCCTCAATTCGGCAAATGTATTCTGACCATCTACTATGTGTCTATGTCTGATTGAACTATGTCTCCTGGCTCCCAAATTTATATGGTGAAGTTCTAAACTCCTGTACCTCAAAATGCGATCTTATTGTAAAAGAGAGGCATTGCAGATGTCATTAGTGAAGCTGAGGTCATACTGGATGTGTGGGCCCCTTAATCCTACACAGATTGTGTCCTTATAAAAAATAAAAATTTGGACACATGCACAGAGAACACCAGGTGAAGAAGGCAGAAAGCAGGTGATGTGTCTACAAGCCAAGGAAGGACAAGAATCACTGGCCGACCACCACAGTGAGGGCAGAACCTCAGAATGCATTCTCCCTGCCAGCACTTGGGGAACCAACTCTGCCAACATCTTGATCTTGGACTTCTAGCTCCCAGAACTGTGGGACAGTAAATTTCTGTTGTTTAAACCAAACCAAACCAGACAATAACCAAAACACTCCCCCCCCCCAAACAAACAAAAAACTATACAAAAATAAGTTTCCTACTGAGAAGGTGATTCTGCAGCAAGCAAATACATCCTTCCAGGGCCGTGTGCGGGTGGCGGTCTATCACACTTCCCCTGTGTGGACCAGGCCCTTGGCTGCCCGCACCCGGCACTGCTCCCCAACAAGCTTTCCCTGACTGATGAGCTCACCTTCATCTCCTCTGACTTTTCTCAGACTTGAATCTTCACCATCTTAAAGGCTGTATTAGCTTTGAAAGCAACGAGGATGAGCTTTCCCAGTAAAAAAGAGGGCTGGCTGTGGAAGGTGTGACTAGTAGCTCGTGGCAAGGCCTGGAGATGTGGTCTTTGAGGAAATCCACAGACTTCCCTTCTGGCAAGGGCGCCAGCACACATCCACTGTTGGGGCACCCGGGCAACCCTGTGCCGGTTTCCAAGTGCAGGGGCCTAAGCAAAGACTGTAATGACATTCCCCTGGCGGGCTCTTACCTCTGAATCTCACTGATTTATCTAACATACTCTGTGAACATCAACCAGTCAGGACTCAAAGCTAACACTCAAAAATTGCTTTAAAATGGTGGGAAATGTTTAAGACATAATTTCAATGACTTGGTCATTAACTTGTTTGTATCCTAATCCACACTTCTTTTTCATATCCTTTTTTCTCAATTATTTTTCCCTGCTTGGGTAATGTTTCTGTAGCAGCCACCTTCAGTCATTAAGACAGTTTTGTAGGCAAGTCATGCTCTTGATCTTAGATAGCAGTCAATATGGATGGAGGAATTTTAAAAAATATTACTCATTATATATTTAATTTCCCTTTACCCTACTTATATTTCCCTTGTTTAAATAAAAGCAATCTTTTTTTTTTTTTGGCCAGAACAGAGTGGTTAGATTTGCATATTCAAAGGCATAAAAAATACACACGTATGATGTAATTTATGCTATATTATTCTATGATAACTCAAAGGCCCAAATACCCTAAGTGTATCAGACATCACAGGTATCAATGGATGTTTTCAGATATAAATCCAGCTATGAATCTTTGATGTGTGCTCCCCACCACCAGGGCTCAGGTTTGCCCTCCCTTCAACCCCTCATTTCACACAGTCTGTGTTCCGTCCCTGTCTTTAGAAGCCCGTGGCCTCAGCCTCCTTCTGGTAATTGCTGGAAATACACGTCTTTAACTTGAGTGTGCAACACAGATGCCTGGTATTTTTTAACTAAAGCACAGATACTGGCTTATTTCTAAAGTTGCCTGTTACCTAAATTCTAGTGCTTCATCCAACCCATCAACAAACATCTCCTAAATATATAATGTCTTCATGGAACCTGACTAGATCCTAAGTATAATCCAGAAGTGAAGACAATACAGCTTTTCATTGATCTTGAAAATTAAGAAAAAAACAAAAACTAAAAAAAAAACTTGCCATGCTTTTGTAAAATCAGTCAGCATGTTTTTAATTTAAAAGTTCTAAGATTACAAGGCACTTGTGTCGTGACTGGGATGTCCTGACCATTGGCTGTAAGGCTAAATTTCATACTCGAACCTTTCCTTGCCTAGATTTTCTTTATGTATTTCCTACCTTGAGGGTACATTTCTCCAACATATTTCTTCAGCTTGGGTTTTCTCCAGGTTCTACCCTCCCACGAACAGTCATCACACATTCCTATCCTAGCAACTTAGCTTTTCAGTTGTCATTTCGTCTCCTTCACCTGTCCTGTAAATGGCTGTTATTTCACTTCCACTGACTACACTCATGCCTTTCAAAAAAACCCCACCAAACCCTGGCCCATACCTGCTGCATGCCTTGCATGGTCTGCTGCAGGAACTGGAGCTGCTGGTCCTTGGTGAGGTTCTCTTCTGTTCGGAAAAGCTGTTCCTTTTCCTGTTTCAGCAGCTCCACCTCATTCCTGTAGGCATCCAGCTGCCAACGGAGACTGTCGTTCTCCTCTTTCAGAGCGTAGGCCTGAGCAGCCAGGGCTGAGGGACAAACAGAATTGAATTCAAGGGAGTCACTTCCTGCTGAGACTGAACGGCCTTCTGGGGGAAAGGGAGTATCACCCAAATTCTTAGCGTTTCTTACCACCTTAGAAGTAATACCGAAACGCCTTACTCCAGGGCTCTGTGCAGCAAGTGAGCATTGTTTCTTTTGCAACTTTCATCCATTTCATTTGTATCGTCTCACATATGAATGTTTTCTTTTGTTTGTTTGTTTGTTTGTGTCTTGACCTCTCCCCCCTCCTAGGCGCTCTCTTGGAAACCAGTACGTGTGGCTCAGCAACGGCAGCATTCCGCATTCTGGGCAGCAGTCCCATCTGCCACGCTGCTGTCCTCTCCCTTTATGCAGGGCTGCCGAGCTCCTTGGAGAGCCACCTTCTTTCACACAGTCGGCTCCACAGGTTGCCTGGGCAGCAGCAGCCCAAGGGAGGGCTGAATTTATATGCATACCATCCCCCGCTCTAACTCCCATCAGAATGGTAACCTAGTTCCATCTGTTTCACTAACAGATTAAAATGCCTTTTCTCTGCAAGGCTGAGTGGTTACTCTAAGACTCCTTCCTGAAACCTAAAGTTCTCTGTATGCAGATTCAGACCTCAGTCCCATCTCCATCTTATTGAGAAATCAAGACAGTTCACTCAGGGTCTTACACATCTGAAGGCTTCAGAAATAACTGAAACTGAGTATGAAAGAAAAGTAGGTGATAAAAGAAAATTAAGGATGGAGAACCCCTTCCCCACATTCCAGCTAAAAAAAAATGCTTTACCGTCTCTCCAATATGAATTATTGCTTGCTGGGCACTCACCATACAAGGGACTGGGCCAAGAGCTTCACATGCACTAACTCACTTTCATAACTAACCCCCATCAAACCTATGAAACAAGTGCTGCTTTATTCCCTCTTTACAGATAAGAATAACAAGGCACAGGAAAGCCAGAGAATTTGTAGGATCCCCCAAAGTGAGTAGCACAGTCTTCTCACCCAGGCTGCTGGCTCTCAGTCACCAGGCTATTGTGCCCATCCAGACGTGTTTCGTTCTTACCAGACTGTTCAAAACCAGCCTTTAATTCTTCCCCTCTCCTCTTCCACCAGTTTTCCACACTTTTTTCTCCCTCCCCCAGAAAATCCATTCTCTACTTTTGGAAGCAAGAGGGAAGTGAAAGAAAATTTAAAAAATTTGTGATCAGTAACTTCTTCATAGAAGTTAGTTCCAGCATATCGAGGCAGGGAGTGGCCCTCAGCCCAGGTTCTGAGTCCTTGCTCCTCTCGGCCACCACCCCAATCCCAATCAGAGGGCCAGGGCCAGGGCGGCCGCTCACATGTTCCCCCTGTGCCTTATGTTCAAGGAAGATAGATGTGTGCTGGGACGTGGGGCACCCTGGTAAAGTCTCTCCTCAAATATCAAATACCAATTTATGTTAATAATAATTTTACACTTGAGTATTTTATAGTACTCTAGTTTTCACAATAATAATCTATGTATAGCAAACACTAAACTACTAATCAAGTAGAACATGCGATTAACCAGAAAATTTCCTACCTGAACCATTAAAGATCAATTAGTCAACAAGGATTTATTGCATATATACTCTGTGCCCAAGCCTATCTGGGAATCTTGGATCAGAAGGGGAGACAAAATATATCTCTTCTCTCAAGGAGCTTATACTATAATAGAAACTGACACAACTGAAGGAAATTAATGCATTCAAAGGAAGAGAGAACAGCTGGCTGCCTAGCATATAGTAAGTACTCAATAAAAGTTGATTGAATGACTAAATAAAGAAGCAATAGCATCAAAGTATATGACAAGAAGATCATCCTATGGGAGTTCAGAGAAGAGAAAAATGCAAACTGGAATAATCAAAGTGGTCTTCAAAGTATGAAATCCAAGAGTTGGGGAAGGACATCTAGTCAAGAGCAAAGGAATAAGCAAAAGTCCAAAGATAAGAATTAAAAAGAGAAAATTTGGGGCAGGAAGCAGGGGAAGCTTGACCAAAAAGGCAAGAGTCTGCCTGGAAGCAGAAGAGACAGGTGAACCATGTCAGGTGATGAGAGAGGATGGAGGATCAGAAGTCAAAATGCAGAGTTGGGCTTAATGGAGCGACCAATTGAGAACCACCGAAGGTGCTTGGGCAGTGGACAGACATGAGGAAATTGGTGATTTAGGAAAGTTAGTCTGGCACTGGTGCATGGAATAAACTGTAAGCCAAAGGGAATAAATAAGTAAAATTTTATTTGGTGTATATGTGGATACAAAACTAAAAAGCAGCCAATTTTACAGATTTTAGGGATGCATAAAATCAGAAATGACTCAGCATATACCCAGGAACGAGCTCGTGTTTACTGATGCTGTGCAGCCAAACTACAGATCTCGTCCACAGCATGAGACACCGACCGCCAGTCCGATTTACCAGCCCATGAGGAAACGGTTAGAGGCCTCATTCAAGAGAGGGATGTTGTGATAGGGCAAAATTACAGAAAATGCAAACGATGAAAAAATTGTTGGCACCACAGAGGCACATTACTACATTTAGTAGCATTCAAAGACACTTAAGTCATTTCCTTAGGAAGCTCTATTCGGTCCTTTCTCAGTTCAGACTGGCATTTTTATTATCATAACTGATAGCAGGTGTTTGTGAAGAAATCGATTAGTATGCAGGGATGAAAATTACATTTTCCAAATGAATTGCATAGTCTGCAAGATAGGCTGAAATTCGTGTAGCAAAATGCAAGCAGCTATAAAGCATGTGCCAGCAACATTATTTAAATAAATTATCTGAACACAAACACATATAGGAAAGCACACCATCCATTATTTTAGGAGTTCTCTTATAAGCCTGTGAAATGGCACTGCTGAGAGTTCTTATTCTTGGCTAAGCCAAGTGACCACTGTTTCTGCCAAGTAGGATACAATGTTGTTTGCATTTCTGGAATAGAAATGTGATATCATTATATATTAAAAAAAGACCCAGCAGGTCCACTCACCCCCATCCCCACCTCCCAGCAACCAATACCATAGCCAATCCCATCAATGTTTTTATAATTGGAGCATATAGCTGATTTACATTCCTAATTAAATGATTTCAAGCTAGATATTTGCAAAAAGAAAAAAAAATGTGGTTCCTCAGGTGGCAGCAAAGTGGTTCTCTTCTAAAGGGTGAGAAATTGTATATCGACTCCACTTAACTTCAAGCCACCTGTTTGTAAACATTATCCAGCATCATGTTACAGACAGCGCCAAGTCCACCCTTCAGAAAAGGCTTCCTGGAAGAAGCTAGATTATGTTTCTTGGACTGGAGCTCTAAAAGAAACAAAATCCTAATAATTCCTAACTTAATTTCTCAGTGTATTAAAAATTCAGAAAGCTTAAAAGATCCATTCTTTCATTTCTCTTTTTCCCCGCTCTTTAGTTCTTTCTGGGATGCTGTATTCAATTAAATGGTTTTGAAAAATGTGTAGTCAAGCACAAGGATTAAAAATAAACTACAGTATTCATCTTTTTGTAAGAATCCCAGAGGAGTGCACTGTGTTCCAATAAATGGGAGTATTTAGCTAAGATCCACCACATGTGGATTACCGATTTTCAATTTAAGAAAAGAGTACAATCAGACACTTTAAATGTAAACTGTTCTGAACATAATGAAACCTCCTTCAGTGATTTTAAAGGCAGCAAATCTAGTGATGCCACTGCGCTGTCATCAGCGTGCCCTCCGGCCTGTCGAGGAGCCAGGCGAGAGGAGCTGTGGCATCCGCAGGGTGCAGCTGGGGCAGTCACTGGCTTACACGCGTTCAGGATCTTAGGAAAGTTGTTACTGGAATGTTCTGATTGGACCAAAAACGAAATAATAACATTGGAAAAGCTTTGCTAAACAAGATTAAATTCCACTTTAAAAATTAGCACTAGACTACTAAAATTACCAAAGTGAAGCTAGTACAAAAATTGATCCAAAGGTTAAATCACACTGCTGAGGAAGGGTTTTGAAGGTGTTACATCACCTCACCGTACTGTTTCCTAGATTCTATATAAACCATTATTTTTTTATATTAATTATGGTCAAAGTGACCTCTTCCTCTGTTCTCATATTGTTTCCATGGAAACAGATAAAGGCATGCTTAACTTCTTTAAGTAAATAATCTGTGAAAGCCTTGAAAGCTCTCTCTTGCCAGCCTGAGCCAGCCTCAGAAAAATAATTAGCACTATATGAAAAATGTAAGTTATTTTCACTATGTCCCAGTAAGCTAATAGTATGTTAATATCTTTTTCATGCTCAGGCAAGGGATAACTAAATAATAAAACACTTTAACATATTGTTTCTAACAGTATCAGGATTTCTCAAGAACAGTTTGTCTTTCTGTCTTTGGGGAACTCTGTTTAATATTCTCCCTCCGCTTTGGCAGGTGTCCTCCTGGGAAGCCGGGAGGACACTGCTGAACTGTGCACTTCTTTCCTGTGTGCAAGGAATGTCCTTCTCAAGGATGTCATCGGCTGCTGCCCAGATGGAACTCTGGATGACAGGAAGGGTCTGAGGCCTTGAGGTATCTCCGTGGTATCCGCCCGCCTTCCAGCCCCAATGACCTGCTGACTTAGAGACTCTCCAGACTCCAGGCTTCCCGCATCTTGACTCTCCTTGTGTTGCCTGGCATCTCCAGGTGCTCTGTGACAGAGACAACACACTCGGTACCCAGCCTCCTGCTTTTCTTTGCCTGGTGCAGTGCTGTTCCTGGGAGGCGCAAGCCTCAGGGTTGCCACATGACTAGTTTGCACTGATGGAGCGTGAAATCCCTCATTCTCTTGCTGTGTCTGGGATGGGCCTGGGTCTCTGCATCCCCACATGGAGGACAGGTGTTCGGAGACCAAGAATATCTGCTCTGGGGTCTTTTGTGCCCAAGTAAAACTCTTTTGATAAGCCACTGGAGATTTGGGACTTATTTATAAAACAGCTGGCGTGACTCTTAGCCTAATGTTCCCTGGATACTGGCCC